GCGTCAGCATGAATCTTCCAGTAAAGCCAATCGACAGCTGGTCAAGAGGAATTCGCTGTCGTCTTCTGGTAGAACCGACCTTCGAATCTCTTCACCAAACACTTCTACTCGAAATGGAAGTAAGCCGAACAAATATGATTTTTCATTAGCCTTCTTCTTCTCCAGCCTCAACTCATCCTTCACCCTTTCCACTTTCCCTCGGCCCTGTTTGCAAACGGTGCCCACCTGAATCCAGGTCGAGGATCCTCCATGATCCATTTGCTGCTGACACAGCATCAATTGCACCTGCCTCAATCAGACAGTCCAACGGTGACTGCACAATGTCGGTCTTCTGCTCGAGTGAAGACGAATTGTTCACGCCTCGTGGGTGTGATGTCTTGGCTTAATGGTCAGTAAGTGAATGTCCGCCTCGCCTAAAGTATGACAAGCGACAAAAAAGTCCTTCCGCTCTGGTGGCCATCCTCATCTCGTCTGTCTCCGGTCGCCAACTCGTCAGTCTCAGCAGAGCCGGGCTGCACACGCCTACACGCTAGCCATGTTGCCTCTGTGTTTCTGGGCGCGACCACAAGTCCAAGAGCAGCCTCCGGGCCATTTAAGCGCCTCAAGAAGAACGACGAGATTAGAGCACAGGGTTAATCAAATTTTCTCGCCCAGTACTTGTATGAAAAAAATGGGATATTTCCTCGTTGCTCGCCTACTCAGACTGGCGTTTTCTCCTCTCGGACAATACCTACCTCCGCAATCGTGTAAACACCATCGACACCAACATCTGTAGGGTCGGTTGGGCGTTTCTACGCCAGACCAAATGCAGGCCGGTACACGAGGCTGACTCGTCCGCCTCGACGTCTATCCGTTTAGGCCTGACGACCTGTCTGTACGTGTGTTGGGTCGGTGTGTTTGTGAGTCTTGCTGATGAACATTTCGAGCAGATGCCAGTGAAAGGCGTGAACGGTGGGTATAGGACAACTCGGACGAGTGCTTGAAACACTCGCATTCGTTCCCTACTCTCCCGTTTGCCTTGATGCCGCCTCAGGCGAATAACCTTCCCTGG